GGTAGCCATTCCTGCTGTCTCTGTCTGGGGATGGAGAGCAGATGGATTTTCAGCGTTGGCATGGTCGCGGAGGATTTGTCTGCCTTCTCCGTGCTCTGAAGCCCAGGGTGTGAGCGTGAGCATCCTCCTGGACACCGGTGCTCGGTTATTTGATGCAGTGGGGACAAACCGCTCTGCGTGCCGTTCCGTTGGGAGGAGATGAAATGGGGAGTGATTTGGTGCGATTGGTTGCAGGAAGGAGAGGTGGAAAATGACTGCCAGAGCCGTAATGGTATTAACCAGCAAATTCCCCCTGCTCAATACTGCTTGCTTACTAGTCTTAGTTTGCTGATATTTCCAATAAACGCTTCTCTCTAGGAGTGCTCTTACCCATCTGTAGGTCCTTTCTGAGGGATTCAAATCCCTTACCCACACCACTTTCCCTGGAAGAGGCATAAATTTACCTCCATCTTACTGATAGGGAAACTGAGACAGTAGTTTAACAAATTTGCTTGAGGTCAGGTAAGGTGTTTCATTCCTGATTTTAGCCATTAGAAGTAATTGTTCTCTTTGAGAAAATTTTTTTGGTTCCATCTTCCTATGTCTTTTTTCCCATCTGTACTCTGGCATCTGAATAATAATTAAGTGATACAAGAGAACCGAGACAGCTAAAACGAGGCAACTTCAGTACGTTCGTGGATGTCTCAGAAGCTAGGGCTAAATTCAGTCTTGCAGGGAGTGGGGAGCCCAGCAGCGTGGCTGAACTGCGGATAATCTTGTGATCGGTTACATTTATAGCTAAGGGAAATAAGATCTCCTGCTCCCATGCAGTGTCAAACGAGCTAAGTGCATTATGGTTTTCTTGCCACTCTGGAGCATCTGCTCTGAGTCAGGATGCTGGAACTGATGACCCCATGGTTTGAGCCTCAGATGTTTTATTCTTAAGTGGCTGGCATTAACGCAAAGTAATATTCAAGGCAAGCGAAGGGGATTGTAGCAGCACCAATTTCTGAACTTGGCTGGAAACTTTCCTCTGCGAAGAGGAAACTCTGCATTCTGGGGCTGCTTTTGGTGTGCGCTGTGGGCAGGTCCGTGTGATGGACTGGTGCTGGAGCTGTCCCAGCCCTCCGGGGCTGGAGGAGAGAAACTCGATCGGCGTTGGGAAGGAGAGGTGACGGTGCCAGCCTGCAGTCTGAGCCTCACTCGCTGGAGCATCCTCATGCTGCAGCCTTTTGTTTGACATTGATCTGATCAGGGGCTTGAAAGCTGCTTGGGCTATAGGCTTCCTGGCTTCATCTTTAAATATTGATGAAGCTTTTGCCTAAGCGGTACCTGCGCAGGGCTGTAGCAGTGTGCAGTGCTGTCTGTGAAGGACAGAGCAGACTCCCTGCCCAAGGAAGATGGGTTTAATGGCCTCAGTGTTGTCGCAAGCCTGGGGTTATTGCAGTTTTGCGCAGTGTGCGTCATTTTGAAGAGCCGGTTTGAAGGCAAGAGGAGTGATGTGCATGAAGCTCCAGCTGGGGTTCAAAAATAGAGTAAGGAGGGAGGCATGGTGGAAGGAGCTGGTGTTTGTAAGAGGAGAAATGGCAGTGGAAGATGTGAAACCGAGCTGTGATCAGGAAATTGGTTTAACAGACCTGAGCTAGCCACAACCAGAGACCCAACGGATCCTTGCTCGACCGCTTTGGTCCTCATGTGTGGCAGCTGCTGCTCTTTTTCCTGGCCCCAAAGCATGTTTTACTGATGGATCTCCTCCCTGTGCTGCTGCAGCGGCTCCTGGGAGCACTGATGTGCTTGGTGGTGGCATGGCAGTGGTACAGGTGGCCACTATGGCAAGACTCACTGTAAGCTTCTCTTTCTCCATCCCCCTGTTCATCCAAAAAATTCCAACCCGATTCTCAACATGACCAGAGGGAGCCATACTTACGGCAGGGAGTGAGCCAGGATTATCGAGTTGTGACGGAAGCCCAGGGAGAGCGTTAGGACTCTGACGTGGGCAAAGGAGGATTAGCAAGCCCTCTGCTTTCGCATAGAGAGGAAATAAGGCATCAGTACAGGAGCATACCTTGCAAGTTAGCATAGGATAAACAAGCCTATAGCGGCATTAGACTGCACAGAAGAGCTGTTCCAGTCGGTGATTTCTATATCAGAAGCGATTTAAATGCTGAAAAACCCTCAGCTCTGGGTGAGGCTGCCGAGCTTCCCACACGAAATCAATAATGTGTCAGGTGGAAGCCTGCCTCCACCCTCAGCTGCGCAGATGGGAGATGGGGAACCCTCTTCCCGGCAGCAGAGAGACCTCGAGGCCTGGAGCGTGGTTGCCAGTCCCATCGGGCTCCGTGTAAGCTGTTTACAGTTGAAAGCACGTCCAGGAGGGGAAGGCAGGAGTCGAGATCCTGTTCTCTGGGCTGTGCATGTCTCTTAGAGAGCGTGAAAGAGGAGGGACATACATCGGGCAAACCCAGCGAAGGGAACTGCCTGTTCTTGCTTTTGGATGCCTCAGGACAGGGGGGTGTGACACACTGATCCACTGGTAACTGGTGGCTTTTTTTCATGAGAAAAAAAAATAAAAGATGGGGGGAGGCTTGGAGGCTGATCTGCTGCAAATGTCAGTCTTTAAAAGAAATCTTTTTTCCTGTTAGATCCCCTTTTTAGGGAAGATGGACCCAAACGAGTCACTAGCAACATGGCAAAGTGCAGTTCAGCTTCCTTGCATCCAAGTGGACAGGAAGAAGAGAGTCAAGCTTTTTGTAGGGTCTTCCTGGTGGGAACAGACATTTTTTTTAATGAAGTATTGCCCTGAAACAGGTATGATCGAATGCCATATGATTGAATTTTGAAGAAGTGAGGAAAATAATTTTTGCAGATGTGTTTCAGATAACGGGAGAAGAGAGGCCGGTGGCAGCCAGCAAGGAGAGCTGAAGTGGTTGAGGATGAGTTCCTGGGTGCATGCACTGATAAGGTCCTGGAACAGGGAGAGGTGTTTCCTAGAGGATGAATTACTGTGCATAAATGAATGATTGTCAGCAGTGGGACCATGATGCACTCTGAGTAAAATACGCTGGCATAAGCTCAGTGAAAACGAGCGTATTCTGTGTCAAGTACGTGCAGTTCCCTGCGTGTGCCCTGTAGAGGAGGGGATACTTGACTGCAGCTTGGCCATCACTGCATCTGCACCCTTT